GGCTAGAATTGTTCTAAAAGCGCTTTTGGCACCAAAATATACTAAATTTGAAGGGGAGTGCGCGCCAAAAAAAATGCAATTAAACATTGCAATAAACCACAATTTACTTCACAAATCATCTTTATAATGAACAGCATAAAAACTCATTAAAATGGCACGAAAAATGAAACATAAATAAATAATGTATTGGCCAAACTGCCACACATGTAAAAAAAGTTATTAAGTTTAAAAGTTACCAACTGGCCCTTATCAAATTTAACTTATAGGCTTCTCACTCAAAGTTTTTTTTGGCACTTCTAAGTGCTTACCTTTAAACAGTAAAAATGTTTAGATTAGTATGGAAACAGCTTTTTTTATAAGAGCTAAGCTTTTAAATCTAATTTTGATATCGACACAAGTCAAGTTATTTACTGTTTAATAAGTTTGATCTAAATTGCTCAACTAAACAAGTCTCCACCTTTTCCTTTTCTCGGTGAAGATTGATTATAAATTGTTTAGCAAAGGTGGAAACTTGATAGCGCGAATGAGTTTAAGCGCTTTGCGCAAAAGAGGTCCTTATCGCCTACCTTTTATTTCACCATCACTGCAACCCACTATTTGCATTAGGGTGGTGGAAATGGGTGCAGAAAAAGTAAAACGGAAAAATTGGCTTGCCAGAGGGCTAGCTGATAAGAAAACTCCCTCATTTCAATACTTGCTCACAAATTTGTCAACAAAATCATAAAAGATTGATTGCAACCCTTCAAACTATATGCCAATTCTTTTCCTTTCATGGATTTTTTTCAAACATTTTCAGAAAAGTCAATATTTTATTCTGCAGAACTTCATTATAGCTATAACAGTAAAAAGACCGGTTATTGATTTGTTTATTATTAGCTTTGCGATCACAAAATTAACCAGCAACGGCTATAACCAGCAGCTAAATTTATGAATATTTTATAGCTGGTTTCTGCAAGTTCGAGTTCATTGGCATTTTCACCACTAACAAAAACTGACTTGGGCAAGTTGCGATGGTAAGTTTCTTCCTCTTCATGATAGCCGGTAATTTGGAACTTAAAAGATACCTTAATAGTTTCTTCAAGCTGTACAAGTAGCAGGAGTGTTTTGAGCAATGTGAAAAAAATATATATAAATGGAATCAAAATTGTTTTTCAAAGATCTTTTTGTTACATTTGTGTGCTGTGTGAGGGTTTGGTTGATTTATGCTCCAAGAACTAATTACTAAAAGCTGGTAATCATAAGACCGATTTTTTTATTTTGACGAGCTTAAGTGACTGTGGTAATTCATGATGTCTATGCTTGTATTTCGACCATTTTTCCTCTAACTTATTCCACAGGGCAAAAAGTTTAAAGAGAATTGCAAATGGTAAGCCAAAGCATATACAGGCTTGTATCCGTGCAAAATCTTGATTTTTAACTGCCCTTTGCTTACAAATTTGTAAGTAACATTTTTACATCTTTAAGAGTAATGAATGTAGTGAAGACTCTTATGTAGGTCTTGCTGATTTTTTTTTGTTTTTTTTTTCAGGAAAAAGTCTTAAAATTTGTTCACGCTCAATTTTGATTTTTCTCGGTTTGACTTGTGGTTTTTTTTATATTCAGTGCATTTCTATTGTTAAAAGGAAGGCAAACTCCACTATCGAACAGCAAAATTGTGATCTACTTCTAATTATGAAAATGGAAATTAATTATCAGATTTTCAAGATGATAGAAGTTTTACCTTTTGATCCAGTTTTCTCAAATTGAGTTAATTTTAACAAAATAGTGTCCATCATAAATTGTTCTACAAGTTCAAAGAATTTTAAGGCCAACTAATTTTTTTAAATCGAAATTCAAAAGTCGGAGACTTTTTAAAAAACAAGTCGGCTTTTTCCAGTTTCCTTGCGTTCATTACTTTTTCCAACTGTCTGTTGGCTATGTTTTATCTAATAAACTAAGGTTTTGAATTTATATGTAAATTGTTTCTGCATACGCAATCTCAAGTTTCAGCTAAAATAATCCAATTTCAATTAAAATATTCTAATTTCTATGGTTTAAATTTCTAGCTTCCTTTCTATGGTTTACATTTCTAGTGGCTAAAAAATTCCTAGCTTCCCATGCGTTATTTGAAAATTGGAAATTAGGCAAGCAGTATTCATCTCAAGTTGACCATGAGCTTGTGAGTTTCTCCTCATTTAAAGTTTTATCATTCCAAAAATTTTGAATTCATAGGATCGCTCATCCGATAACGGGTTACGCTTGTTTTGAGTTTGTATGAAATTTTTTGAACAAAAAATCATTAAACTTTTAAAAAAAAATTGTAGCAAAAAATGAGTGCCACTAACTTTTATCGGAATTTTTTTACCACAATTTTTGATGATTACTTTTAAATTCATCAAAAATAATTTTTTTTATGAAAACACTCTCAGGTCGTATGATAAAAAACGGAAAACTCCAAGCAGATATATGCTTTTACCAAATTTGAATTTGAGCTCGGAATAAAGAAAAAAAAATGCTGTCTTAGGTCATTCGAAGACAAAAAAATAAAGCCTAAACTTTTTTTCTAAGGAATACATCTTGTAGGAAAATTAGTGGGAATAAACATGGTGCAATATTCACTCCAAAACTTGAACGTTTTTGACCCTTCAGTTTTGGTTTAAAATCTTTCAACAATCTAGCGGTTTGTTTTATAAGTACTCACATCAAGTCAAACGTTTTACGAGGCGCAATAAGTTTCCAAAAATGTCAGTTTGTCTATAAGCATTAAAAAATGTTAAATTGATAGTACTTCAAGTCAAACTTCAGCCAGACTTAAATATATTCTTAAAATTTTCATTCAACGTATCAATTTAGGCTCAGTTTCTACAGGTTTACCTCAGGAGGACGCACATTTTAGTTTACTTAAAAAAAATGCGTCAAAAGATTCAACTTTGGGTACCTTAGCCTGAGACAAAATATAGTTTTTTTTTGGACACTATTGATTATTCCGAATTTGCAAAAACTTAAGCAATGGCTTTTCTCTAAAAAATTAATTCGGGGTTTCAGATCTGATTTTTTTTTGCACGAAAACATAATACTAAACACTGTATACAAACGTGGAGTTAGATACAAATTTTACATTACGAGAAAAGACTGTACTTTTGAATGCTTTGCAAGTTTTGTGACAACACTGGGCAATCAAGTGTGGTGGATTTTACAGCAAAGCTATTTTTTTTCTGTGGTGGAAAGCAGAGGCAAATGCTTAAACAAAACGCAGCTCGAAATGTTTGCTCAAGTCGCAAAATTTGCAGAATCTGGAACAAATTTTCAAGAATTCTATAAATCTTGCGAATTATATAAACAAACAAGACTGAATGATCCGACTGCCTTTTAAGGCCTATGGAGCAATGTTTGCCTTAAAAAAATTTGAAGATTTTTTTGTCATTCCCCACATGCCATTTAAATAAATTAGTAGATCTTGCTCCTAATAACGTTTCAATTATGACGAATAGCTTGCTTTGACCAATTTGGAACGATTTTGCGTATAGAGCGCGAAAAAAAATCAGGCCCTAACTGTCCCAAATTGGACCAATTGGCAATTTTTAATTCCCACAACTTTGAAAAAAATGATCACCGGCAAAATATCTTTTCAAGTTTGAGCTCAAGGTAATAACATTTTTTAACTAAATCGTAAAAAATGGCAAGTGAAAAGGTCGAACGTTGTCTGAGAAAAAAAACAAACCGATAAAAAATATTCCCTCATTTTACGTCGGAACAATAATCGTAGTAAACGTCTGCGGCAAATTTTGGCGCTGCAAAAATCCCATTTTGTTAGCAAAACCGGCATTTGGTTAACGAAAACTAACGAATTTGTCATCAAACTTCGGACGAAATGTTCCGACAAATTTGCGTTTAAAGGCATTAGTTTGTGCTTTTTCAACACATTTAGAAAGCCACTTAGAAGTCTTAACTTAATTAAAGGCTTGACTCCAGTTCAGGGCTCTAGATAAATTGATTGATAGGGGAACAATAAAAGTTTCGCTCACAATAAATTAGTTGACAGAGCTCGCTAACACCATTAATTTATTTGAAAACCTGCTCAAAAACTGTCGCATACACAATCGAGTTTTAAAAAAATTGATAGCGTTTCAAAAGTAATTTGCTACTAATTTTTTTTACATACAAATAATAGTATATATGGAAAGATTGAAAACAATTCAGATTTAATCCTAATTAATTGCAAATGATTTTTTTTCTCAAGGATTTTTTATCAAGCCGCCTAGCTCCGGATGGTATTCTCACATTTCGCCCCTCGCACGTTTCGCTCCTCATAAATTACTGGCACATTCGCCCCTAAAATGTGTATTAAGAAAGCGGCGTTAATTAACTGTATAATAAGTAAGGGGCGAAACGTGCGAGGACGAAAATTGTGAAACTTTTAGGGGCGAAATGTGTGTGGGGCGAAACGTGGGACATTTGCTCCGGATATATACACATAAGTTAGTGCGCCCTATAATGAAACTGTTTGGCCTTGTAATATATCGTGTCATACGTACTGCTATGCATGTTAATTGACACACAGCAGATCAAAACAGCTGAAAAATATGATACTGATGAAGACGCAGATTAATACCAACACATTGCTTATGCAAAAATATGATTATGTATACTTTTGAGTTCGAACCTAAAAACGAAAGGACTTAACAAGCATATTATTCAAAAACAGACTTTGTAGATAATTTGGTTTTGAAAAATACTTTTTAACTTTTTAAATTTTCCGAAAGCTCAAGCGCCAAAAATCAAAAATTTCTTAGAGCTTGAATCTTTTTTACTTGATTTAATTATGGCGCACTCCAAAAGAACTTGCAATTGTGCATTGTTCATTAAGAATCCATAAAATTGGGGCGCTTTTTGTGGAAAAATATAAACGATTCAATTAGATGCATAAGGTCGCTTCGTTACCTAATTTTTCAAATCAGTTGATGACTACTTTAAAAATATTTTTCATTATTGTGGTTATTGAAAGCATTAATTTTTTCCAGGCAGCTCTTGTCAGTTCCATCCTTCAGATAGCAGTGACAGTCTCGTCCGCACACGTGGTGGGCTCAATAGAACAAGGCTGCTCAGGCTCCCAACTGGCATGTCTGGATCCCATGCACTTCAGGGCACCCCAGTTCAACCAGCCGGCAGGCATATCGGCCGAACTGGACTGGACTCTATCAGCAGGCGAACACATCACATTCACGTTCAAGTGAGAGCTACAGCTCAGATTAGAATACAATTACGATGCAATGCTTCCGAAATAGTTTAGAAACGGTTTGAAACTGTTCAACAAAGAGTCTCAAGAGTTTTCAAAAAGATTAAGTTTTGACAGAAATTTCTTTTTTTTAAGAAATAAGTTATGAAATAACTTTCCATGTCAATCAAGCTTGGTCATGACAAGATTAGTCTAAATTTCTTTATTTTACGTCATCAATTATTTACCAATTATGAGACATTTTAGAAAAGTGAGACTCGGATGTTTCAAAAACGTTTGCGTATTTCTAACTCTCCATTTCCTTTCAGGACGATAGAGCCCAATGGTCTCATTTTGAGCCTGCCCCCTCCTCCCTCAGTCTCGGTGGAGTCATTCTCGGGGGGCATAGTGGCATTTGAACTGTGGGAGGGACTACTCTACCTTGTCATCAAAGTGCAGAACTCACCCACCATCAGACAACAACTCACCCCATCAGGGTACGAATAGTATTGAGACATCAAAATTAAATTTAATGGCTTCTAATTCCTTTTGGTTTTAATTTTTCTGAAAACTCTCAAGTTTTTCTAGATATATCTTTAGGTGGTGTCCCTCATGATGGAGGGACCGAATGCTGGTAATTTAGTTTCACTTATTTTCAGCCAATCAGAAATGAGTGTTCGCAAATCTCAAAAAAATTGCGAAACTTTAAAGAAGAAGAATAAATCCATGCCATAAAAACTATTTTTGACTGAGTAGAAAAAAATAGACACAAGATTTTTTTGAATATCGCAAAATCGAAGTCGTGTAACGGAAAAATAATCAACCAGTTTTAAAGAAAGTGAAAAACAAAACAAAAACGTATTGTTTATTCGGACGATTTGTGCAGGAAAACTTTGTACCGCTTCAATTGATTCTTTTTTAAAAACTTTGCTTATAAAGGCTTCGCTTATGTGCAAAACTCAATAAGCCATTCGAAACGTCTAGCAATTCTGATTGGCTAAAAGTTTTCCATCATGCGGTCCCTCCATAATGAAAATACCCATATTTTATTTCAGAACAAAAAGACATTTTTATCTTCATTTTTTATTTTATTTCTTTCTTAAATTATTTTTAAGCTTTAAAAATTCCTATTTGTGATATGAGTTGCAATATCAGTTGAAAACAAGTTGTAATTCAATACTTTATTTTTCTATTGAATTTAGGTTTTCTTATTTTTTTGTTTTGTTGTTGTACTGAGAGTTAGATCAATGTTACGAACTCTGATCTCTCGCTTAATCTCAGTGTCATCACTCACGTATGACCTTGAGCATACCATACAGTAATGATTAAGCACCAAAGGTTAGCTGTACATACGTATATAAATACTGCTACTGCAGTAGCGGTATGACACACCCCCCTCGGTGGAAGAAATAAATTATACAACATAAGTATGATAATTTATTTAAAAAGAGTTCAATATACTCAGTTCAAAGAAAGTCTCTTGGTTAATTGACGATTTTAGATTATGGACTTTTCAGTTTTCTTCCAGCTCTATTTCCCAACTCGGGTTCCAATCGACTCCCTCGTCTAGTGTAGCGTATCCGAATTTTCGCATGACCAGATGTCTTTCGAGTCGTCGCACTTTTGATTCCATTGGTTTGTCGTTACGATCTTTGAAATCTCTCAGTTGATTTCTGTATTCTGTAAGTGCCTCCTTTAAAAGACCTCTCCCTGTGAGATTTTCTGATATTTCTTTAATTGAGTGCTTTATCGGATCTCCGAATCGTTTAGGTTCTTTGTTTTTCGTTTGTCTGGAGCTTCGTCTAATACCTGACTCTTCCGTACTTGATTCGTCCGAAAATCCTTGTGGTGGTTCGAAATTTGTGTCCATTTCCGAACTTTGTTGTGGATTTCCTCGAATTTCGTCTGCAACTCGCTGTACTCCTCTTTTTAACAATTGGTCCGCGTACTTCTCCCATTCGGACGGTGCTAAATTGCGATTGTGAAATGTGTCGACTATGTCTTCTAAAGGAGTGTGACAGTCAATGCATTTCAATTTCGGCCGCTGTTTAGCCTTTGGCGTAGAACTGGACTGAATTTTGGTGTCTACTCTTTCCGGCTTAGATGTCGATTGCTCCTGTTCCAGGTTGGCTGCAGTCGCAGTTTGGCTTGTCCCCTGTTGCTGCTTGTTTCGGCCTTTCTTTTCCTTTTCGCTCTTCTCCGGCTTGTTTGTGTTATTTTCCTCTATAGTTGATTTTGGGCCCGCCAAATTGGGTTTTGCTCTTTTGACTGCCAGATTCAGACCTCCCCCGGCTCCTGTGTCCTTAGAAGTAACTATTGTTTGGCTTTTCTGAAAACGCTCTGTGGGATTCATTGCATCTGCGATTTCCATTCCTCCTTGAAGTTCGTCTTCTGATCCCAGCTCCTCGAGTAATTCTGGAGAACTGATTCTCTTAAACTTTTTTGTAGGTTCCAACGATGGATTTTTACTCGTGTTCTGATTTTCTTGTGTCAGTACCGTTTTCGATTGTGCTATATCCGATTTCCTATAAATCGAACCGGCCGATGTCTTAATTGTTGAGTCCGTTTCTGAAGCGATTTTCCCTTTTAGTGGTCTGGTTAAGGCTTGTCCGCTTTTCCTTTCAAAGTATTGTCTTGGGTGGTGATTTACATTGATTTTCTACTTTGTCCTCCACAAATCTTTTCTCCTAAGAGTAGATCATTTCCTTTCGAAGGTCGGGATTGAGTAGCCCTGTCTCGTCCACTAATTTCCTGATATCGTTTTTAGCCGCGTCCCTTCTTTCGTTGTTCCAACGGGCGTTCGCCTCCAACAATTCCTTTAGAGCTTTGGCCCTTTCTTTGTCTCTGTCCGATGTTTACTGCTGCTTGTGCAGTGGGCTTGTATCCCTGCTAAGTTGTCCCTTGCGCACTATTTTGAGATTCTCTCTCGACTGGTCAATTCTCCGTTTCAGTTGGGAGGCCGTCAGTGCTGAGCGTTCCAAGTGTTGTTTGTCAAAATAATCAGAATTATTGAATTATTTAAAAACTTATCCCTCACAATTTTAAATTCTGTTTTTGGTAGTCTGCCGAAATGTGCTTGAAACGGGGATACTTGAATTGTTTTCCGCTTGTTCCACCGTAAATCTCTCATTATAGTGCTGAGACATAATTTGATTGATTTATTATTTTCTTCGAGCATCATCACTCCCAGTCTTCTTTTTATAGTTTGGATTGTACGTTCGACCAAACCACAACCTCTGTGGTCCCCCACCGGACAAAATTTTTGCTCGATATTGAGTTCCGAACAGAATTTTTTTTAGCGTTTTCCCCTTAAAGCCTGAAAATTGGTCCGAACGAATTGATTCAGGGACTCCATGTGTGTCGATATATGATCTCAAGAATTTTACTGTGCATTTTCCACTTGTGGATTTCGTAACCTTCACTGATGGGAAATTTGAGAATCGATCTATAGCTACTAAAAGGTAGATTTTTTTTCCTTTTTGATTTTCTATAGGCTTCGCGTAGTCTAATTGTACCTCCTGTCCCGGCTGCGTGAGCAGTGGCAGTGGTTTTGACGAATTTTTTGAAACAAGGTATTTTACATTCTTACCATATCTGGTACAGCTACGGCACTCCTCTGCCAAATTCACGATGTCCTTATTCATATGAGGCCACCACAGATATTGCGCTGCTCCCAACATAGCCTCCTGGCCTGGATGCCCTCGATGTATTCGTTTCAGGACAGCTTGTCTTAGTTGTACTGGAACTGCTAGCCGGTTATTCACCAACATGCAGTCGTCCTGAACTGCCATCTGTGACCACAACGGATTTGTATAAGGTCCCATCAATTCAAATCCTTGTTTGTCCCCTCTTTCGATCACTCGTCTGAGGCGGTCCATCCACGTGTCTTCTGTGGTCAATTCTGCTAGTAAACTTTTGTCGAACAGTTTTGCTAGATTGTCCAAGGTCTCTACTTGATGCTGCTTTTGCAGTTTCGTTTTTCCCAGTCCCTTTGGCGGTTCTATTGAGCACACTTCCTCCTCACTCTCCACCTCTTCTGTGGTTGTCAGGTCCATCTCTATTACTTGCACCTCACTGAGTTTCCGTTCCGCCGATGCGATCGGTTTAGTCACTGCTGAACTTGATTTGTGTTCCGAGCTGTCACTGAATTCTTGGGTGTGTGCCACCAGTTCTCTATTTTCCTGAACATTGTCTTCTCCGCCTATTAGCTGCCAGAATGAGAGTAGTCTTTGATCCGCTTCTCTTTGTTGATCCGGTTCCAGCTGCCATTTCACCCGTGATGCATGTCGTGTTTCACTGTCGGAGCTATCTCTGTTTTTCCGGCCCCCTCGAATTATTTTTCTTGTACGCTGAACTGTCTCTGTGATCTCCTCCTCTTCCGAAAGTTCATTTGTGTTGGATAGTGAGCGGTTCCACTTTGGGTCCATTAGACTCTCCTCGCGCTCCTCCTTCCGCCATTCTTGTGGTGAGCTCGACCACCAGTCGTATGATCTGTTTCCGTTTCCTGACATCTCGATCTTTGAGTCTGTTTTTTTTTTAATTTCCGGTACTGGTTGTTTTATGATTTTGAATTTATTTAAGACTGACTGTTTGTTGGGTTGATTTGACGAAAAAGTGATTTGCTTATGTTGAACTGTTGGGTTTTGCTGTTTTTGCAGTCGTGAAAACTGTTTTCTCTCGTTCCGGTCGAACTTTGTTCGGTTTTGACCGTTTTGGTTGCTATAGCAACCATTACTTGATGACTGTTTCTTAGCATTCCTTGTAGAACATTCTAGAACGTTTTCGTTCCGGTTGAGCGACCCAATTTCTTTAAGCCTACTGTTCCAGCAGTCGAACGCTTCATGAATGGAGTTTTTTGTCGCTACTACAAACTTTTCGTCTAATTCTGATTCGGGCCAGGGATCATTGAAGGGATCACGCGATAAATAATCAACTATGCCCATGTCCCTCCCCGGAATGTGAACTATTTTGAACTGATATGGCAGTAACCGGTCAACCCACCGGGTTAAACGTGATTGGTAGGTCTTGTTTGATTTGTTGTCATCCAATGCTGTTGTAAGCGCTTTATGGTCAGTTGCAATGATAAATGTTGTCCCCAGGAGGTAGTGTTTATATCTATCTACTGCCCAAACAACTGCCAATAACTCCAATTCATTTGTTGATTATTTTTTTTCTTGGGCATTTAGGTATCGGGATGCGAATGAAATTGGGACCCACAGGCCTTCATCATTTTGTTGTTCTAAAGTAGCCCCTAACCCATCATGGCTAGCATCGAATTTAACTCGTGTTTCTCGAGTCGCATCGTAATAATGTACTTTTGTTATACCTGCCACAGCTTCTTTTATAGCATTAAACACTACGGTGTGTTCCTCCCTCCCCTCAAACTTTTTCACCGGGAGTTTCATGTTTTTTAGTTTTTTCTTTTGATTCTCTTCTTTTAGAAGTGGTCTTAATTTTTCAGTCAGACTTGCTGCGTTGGGTATAAATTTAGCTAAGTGATTTATGCTTCCCAGGAATGACCTTAGCTGTTTAAGCGATTTTAGCGGGTTTAAATTTACTACTGCTTCCGTTTTAGTGATTTTTGGTTTAACGCCTGCCCCTGAGAGATGATGACCCAACCAATTCACTTCTTGTTTGAAAAATTCGCATTTTGATAATTTCAACGCCAAATTTTCCGCATCCAATTTTTTTAATACTGCTTCTACCAAATTTGCATGTTCAATTTCACTTCCCTTTGACACAATAAGTATGTCATCCAGAAAACAGAACGTGTTTTTAGCGTGGTTGATGGTTCTGTCCATAGCCTTTTGAAATTCAGCTGGCATATCTGCTAAACCATAGAACCCTGTCAAGAATCTGTAGGTTCCAGTTGCTTTTCCACCAACAATGTTGAAGTTGCATTGTCTAGCTGTATCTGCAGCCAATTTTAATTGACTGTACGCATATTTCAAATCGAACACCGAAAAATATAGCGTACCCTTTTTGTTTTCAGTTACAATCTGGCTTACACCATCAATGAGTTCATCTACATTTGGCATTTGGTATTTGTTTTTGAACAATTGTCTATTGATTGGTTTTGCATCCATTGCCAATTTTATTGAGTCGTCCTTCTTTACTGTTATCACAATCGGAGCGATAAAGCAATCACTTGTACATTTATCAAGTTTTGTTATATGACCTTCTGTCAACAACTTCTCGATTTCTTTTTCGACTTTATCTTGTATGTGAATTGGGATTCTTCTCCCCTTTTCTTGGATCGGACATAATGGATATTTAAATTTTGAACTGACAATGTGATTTTTCGAAATGCCTTGTCTTTCAAATAGGTTTTTAAATTGAGTGAAAAATTTTTCTTTCCAATCTTCTGACTGCTCGCACATGAGCACGTCAAACCTGGTGAGTTCCTTGGGCGCTGGTTTTTGTGTAGTCACTATTCCCACTTGTCCTTGCAGATCTAGTCCCATGATACATCTAGTTTTTCGTTCTGATACCAGAAAGGTGGCGCCCTTTACTTCCCAGCCCGCTGACCTCAGATTGGTTTTTAGGGCTCCCAGTATACTGATCGGTTGTTTGTTGTAGTCCACGAATTTGGCTTGTAAATTCAGTTTATCGGACGGTATGAATCTTACTTTGTTTGATTTATCCATAATTTCCTTTGTTGTCACTCAGTTGAGAAATGAAACTGGACTTCCAGTGTCCACTGTTAATTGAATTATCTGGTTATCTATTCGTACCATGGCCTTTAGTGATTTTACACGATTCAATGTTGGATCGCGGATCGAATCTATTTTCTGAACTCGCACCATTTTTCCGTTTGTTTTGTCCCTCATTTCGTTGATTCGGTCTTTCACATATTTTGAAACTTTCTCGTTTTCCGGTTGATAGGTTTGTATCGACATAACTTCAAATTCGCTACATGACCCAACACCTTCACTTATCTGATCGCATTCCTCTACCGATCCTTCCGAGTCTTCTGCAACTTCACTTACTTGTTGAGATCTGCACATTTTAGCGAAATGATTGGGTTTGCCACAGTGTTTACAGGTTTTCACCATCGCTGGACAATTTTTCAGGTGTCCCTGTTCAAACGTCCTTCCACATCTATTACATGGTTTTGTTTTCGTGTTTTGATTCTTGTTATTGTTTTGTCTTTTATGCGATTCCCTTCTATTTGGAGTTTTGTTTGTCCCCGCCAAATTTCTAACTGCCATTACAGGTTCTTGTTTTATTCTCACACCCGAGATGTAATTGTTACTTGATCCCCCTGTAGCCGCAGCCTTAGTCTTTTGAAACGCCATTGTGGTTAACTTGCTATATTCGAATTTTATAGCCCTTTTCAGAACCTCCTCCGGGTCTAGAGTCTCGAATGTCAACGTGTCCTGCAAGGTCATGTTTTTCATTTTTGAAATGAACAGGTCTCGGACTATTTCATTTTCCAATGCTCCCAGTTCTGATCGGGCTGCTTGTGCAGTTAGCGCCGCGTGAAATGATTCCAGAGATTTTCCCGATTCTTGCATTCTCGTAAATAACTTGTATCTTTCGTATGTTACACATTTTACCTTTTGAAACGAGACTTCTGCCAAATCTGTTATTTCCCTGAACGTCATTTTCGATATTTCAGCATGCGGGTTCTTTTGCAGGAATCTTTTTTTTCCCTCTGTACCCAAAGACAAAAATAATCTGGACACCAATTTCTTTTGTACTTCGTTGTAGAAGACATTGTGTCCGACTCGTGGTCCTCTTGTCCTTCTCTCTTCGTTCTCCAATACTACTCTATCCATTGCTAGCTTATCTCTAAGAATCCTAGCGTTCCTCGCATCTTCATTCTCCCCGTCTCTGGGTGTTTCAGGGCGTGGTGGTGGTTCCTCTAATATGTCTTTTGGTTCTTCCAAAATAATCTCTGGGTTCACATTTTCTTTAACCGTAACCGCCGTGAGAAATTGTTCGAACCAGATTTTGAATTGCCACGGAGGGTCTTGATTTGCTGACGCCCAAAATAACGGAATTCCCAAGTCCGTTCTATTGTCTTGAGCTGCGAATCCTGCTGGCTGCGCCATGTGATATGCGTTGCGATATCAGTTGAAAACAAGTTGTAATTCAATACTTTATTTTTCTATTGAATTTAGGTTTTCGTATTCTTTTGTTTTGTTGTTGTACTGAGAGTTAGATCAATGTTACGAACTCTGATCTCTCGCTTAATCTCAGTGTCATCACTCACGTATGACCTTGAGCATACCATACAGTAATGATTAAGCACCAAAGGTTAGCTGTACATACGTATATAAATACTGCTACTGCAGTAGCGGTATGACACTATTAAAAATAGTTGGTTAAATTTTTGTAACAACCATAAATGAAAATTTGATAAACACTCTCATTTGAAAAGTAGAAAAATAGAAAAGTGGTGCAATGGTTAATTATAGCAAAAAATATAGTAAGTGTCAAATTATTGTTGGCAAAATGTTTTTCAGCGGCGAGTTTAACAAAGTTAATTAACCTAAAACGTTCATTTTAACGTCTGAAATTTTTTTTTGTCAAAAATCTGGTCATTTTAAAAGCTTTGTTTTTGACAGCTGAAGCTGCTCAAGGCCACCTTGAGCAGCTTCAGCTGTTTTTGCCATTAATTTGGCATTCTTTATAGAGTGCTGATTTTAATTATCACGACAAAACGCATAATACTTGAAGCTTTAATGGCGTTGTTCTCAAATTGAGTTAAGATTAGAAAAAATGAGGGAGGACAAAACTAGCAGAATTATTATAGTGCAATTTGTTTTGCAAAATTAGAGCCCAAAATTTTCCCCCAAAACCGGGATGTTTAATTTTTTTAAGTCAATTATAAGTTACACCAAAACTTCGAAATCAGTTACTGTCAAAATTATATCAAAGTGAGCCTCTTACTTGGCCCTAAAATTTTAAGGAGAGTAAAGCTTCGGAAAAATGAGCGAAATAATTTTTAAAATTTTTAAAAATGAGACATACTCTTGGAGACTATACTCTTATTAATTTTTGTTGGGCCACTTATGAGGATCACTTTGATATAACCTTGACAGTAATGGATTTCGTAGTTTTGGTGCAATTTTTAATTGACTGAAAAAGTCTAAAATCATCCGATTTTGGGATAAAATTTTGGGCCCGGATTTCGCAAAACAGTTTGTGCCATAACAGTTTTGCTAAATATTCTAAGCAAGTTTTGTTTTTATCCTTTTTCACATACAGTCAGCTAAATTAGAGAAAGACGCTGTTGAAGTTTAAAGTTTTATGTTTTTTGTCCGGATAATTTATAATTTAAATCAGCGCTGTTGTTAATGACAAATTGTTTGCAATATCTTTTCGGTCAAAATATCTAAATGAAATTAATTAACCTAGAACTGCTCATTTTGATATCATATTTCATCTTATTACAACAATTTGCATTGTAATTTGTGCCGACAAAAATACTGACAAAAACTCGAAATTTCAAAGAAGTATTTCAATTTAGTTAAAATTTGAAGGTGGGAATGATTTCAGAAATTTAATACGTTGTCCGATAAATTTGTTAAAAACTATAGTAGTTAATGCCAAAATTTTGGTAATTTTGATGACCTTGGGCAATTTAATAGGGCAAAACTGAAGCATTTTAGATAAATCAACTTTTTGCAAACAGTTTTTACGTGTGGAATTCATTGCAAAACTAAAATCTGACGTCAAAATGAGCAATTTTAGGTTAATTAACTTCAAACAGATTCGTTGACTGAGAAGGGTATTGCTGACAATTTGACATTAACTATAAAATGAACTTTTCTTGTTTAATCAGAACTCGATCATCGGACGGAAACTGGCGCCGGGTCACTTATGTTAGAGACGGTGTCCAGTTCTCTGTGAATGTCACCCGCATAGACGAGACCGTCGAGGGACTGGATACATTCAGTACCACAGGGTCTTTTGACAAAGATCTATCTGGCATCCTGAAGACTGGGGGTCTGCTGTACCTCGGAGGCACTTTGACTGTCCCAGATCCACTGCAGAATGAGGAGCGGTTTCCACAGGAGCTTTACTCTGGTAAGCTAACTAACAATTTTGAATTACTCAAACTTAAGTGAGAAATTAGAAACTGATTATTCCAGTTACATTGCCAGCCGCTCGAAATAATTTGAGCATATTTTGGTTTCCTTTAAGTAGTTTGTTTTTTCTTTTTGATATCAGGATGCATGGTTAGTACCTTGACCAACTTCAAACTTTTTTTTACTTGTGTTTCACTTTGTTAATGATATAAAGGACATTAAGGAAAGTTTTACTATTTTTGCCTGCAACCAATGTACACCTAAAAAGGAGCCTGAGCAAAGTAGTGCAACTTTTAAAAGTCAGGCTAAAAGCTTATGCTACTTTTTTGTTACCTCATTAACTTTTCATGATCTTTTGCAAAATTAAAAGATAAATACTTTGCTTTTTTGGGTCTATTTTCTCCCTCAAAACGAGCCGGCCGCCTAATCCAATTCCTATTAATTATTTATATTAAAAACATTAGTGGGAATCAGCAATCGCAGCGAACGCCAGAAGCGCATTCTCAACCCACCCGCATTGCCATAAGCGACCCGACTAGTTCAAATGCTACTCGACTAGTCAGGTCTCAAGGGATTCCATTAGTCTAAAATCGGAAGACCATAAAATATAAGACAACATAGGAGGACTCTTAAGTTTTCTTCAAAATTAGCATCACTTTATACCATCAGAGTCAGGGGCGAATTTAGGGGGGGGGGGGGGGGAGAGCGGACGCCCTCTCTTTCAGGGATTCGAACCCCTGCCAACCCAAAGGGTCCCCCGTTTGGTACTTGTTAAGAAATCCATTTTTGGCCGACCGACCCTAAAATTTTTCTAAAGGCGCCTTCGGCGATAATATATACTAACTTTGAGGGGGAGCGCGCGCCAAAAAAACGCGATTTTTTTTGTCAAAACTTTTCGAAAATCCGCCCCCCCCCCCCCCTCAAGAAAATACTAGATCCGCCCCTGATCAGAGTGTTACCAAAACTTTGCTCGCTGGACAAAGTAGTTCTGTTTTTGTCCACAATTGCTAAAAATTACTATACCATGAATTCGTTTGGTCTACATTATCCAGATTTTTTAATTGAAAATTAAGCTAAGCATTGATCAGTTTTCGTGGAAGTTTTTTTTAAATCAAATTTTAATTGTAGTATGAGCAAAAAACTAAGACATTTGAGATGGGATGCGCTTCTTTTAGTTTAAGTAATTACAAAACCGTTGTGCACCTGCAATAGGTATCAGTTTACAAAAGTTGAATAGTTTTAAACATGAGACAGCTTGTATCTGGACAACGCCATCCCGCCACCCCACGTTTTTGAAATTACAAAGTGGTTTAATAAGCCTACAGGTTCATGTCAATTAGAACAAATAGCTTGCCTCTATTCAATTTGGAACAATTTGTAACCATGGTTCAAATGCGGCTCACGAGTTAAAAGCACGAAAGAAGTTGCGCCTAAAAATGTTTTTTGGAATTTGAGACCACGTTTTCAAAATGTTCCAGATGATAAACAACAAAAACTTAATCGGAAAAGACCATTTAAGAAACGAGAAGCCTGGAAAAAAACATCTTTAGCTCAAACAATTGGTCATTTTTGTTCAAAAACTGGAACTCAAAAATGTGGACAAATTAATCCATTCTTTTAAACTAATCACTCGCGGAAAAAACTTAGATTTAAAAAAAAATTCCATAAGTTTTGTCTTCATTGGCATTTTTGGCGTTATTTTGATTTTTTCCAATACTTGATCGCTATGAATTATTTGAAGCAGCTTGGAATAATAAGATTTTAGGGAAATTCCATTTTTTATTAAGCGCGTAGCAAATGCTCAGAGTCAGTCCTGCTCAAAATTTATTCCTATTATTGTTCCGCCTTTCGAAGAAAACGGAAGATTTATGCTCGGTGTGGTTTTTTTTTATTCAGTCAATTTTCGCCGATCGAAATAATAGTTTTTGACAAAAATTTTTTATACCCCATTGAAGGTATTGACTTCCTGAGTTCAAATGTAAAAAGATATTTTATCTCCGATTATTTTTGTAAAGTTTTGGGGGTTTGAAAATTGCCAAATTTGCCATGTTCTGGACTAAATTATAGGCGCTTTGAAAAATTTATTATTAAAACTGAAAGCATAACACGAATTATTATGCTCTGCGAATTATCTTGCACAACAAAATCGTTCCAAATTAAGTTGAGGCTAGCTAATCGGTCGTATTAATTTTGTACGACTCAAGTTTTTGTTCCGACTTTCGATACGAAAGTAACGGAATATTTGTGCTCGGGGTGGGTTTTTTTTTTCTTCAGACAAATTTCGACTTTTTAACTAGCCATTTTTGACGGATTTTTTTTTATATAATTCGAAAGGTATTGTTGTCCTGAGCTTGAATTTGAAAAATTATTTCACCTGTGATCATTTTTCGTAAAGTTATGGGGGTTTAAAGATTGCCATTTTGGTCAATTTGGGACAATTAACGCGCGATAAATTTCGCGCTATTAACGCGTAAGCGAGATTTAATCCGTCTTAGAAATTGTTCCAATTTGGTTCAAGGAAGCTTATATGCCATAATTGATTTGTTAATAGCCGCAAAATCTACCACTTTAAACTTAATATGACGTGTGGGGGGATGTTTTTTTTAAAAAATCTCAAATTTTTTCAAAAATTTTTTTTTGTTTTTTTTATTACATTGAAAATTTCATGTTATCAATGCTCCATAGACCTTAAAAGGCAGTCGGAACATTCAGGGCTTCGCCCTGATACGAGCAGTCTTGTTACATTTTGAAATTTCCAAAAATTATAGGTTTTCATTTTTTTTTTCCCAAAAACAATTCGATATGAATTAAGGGACAATCGGAACATTCAGGGCTGTGCCCTGATATACGAGCAGTCTTGTTGATTTCAGACGCGATTTTGACTTACATTATGTGTAAATAGATTGCGATATAAATATGTTTTTAGTCTACGTAGCGAAAATTTTGAAAAAAAATCGCTCTTTTTAAAAATAGTATCAAAACTTGCTTAAGCAAATTTCAAATACTCTACAGGACTGTCAAAACATCAGTGCCTTGCTCTGATACAAACAGACTGAATAATTTTGTGCTGGCATCCATTCTACCGTTTAGTTAAGATTTAGTTCTGCACAGTTGAAGCCTTTTTTTAAATGAGATGTCTTGAGAACTTTGTTTATGTCAGCTATTGTAAAAAATTATGTTCGCCCAGGAGCACTATCATTTTTTTTCAACTTTCCAACGTACTAATAACTGTGTATACTTTTAAGAGAACTTATTTTCTAGCTCTCCGCCATATTAGCAGATTTTTAAAACTGCCTTCATATTTTGAAGGGAGGTTTCCTTGTCTGACTGTGATCATTTTCAATGGCGGTATTCTCACTAACTACGAGGCAAAATAAAACCCCTGCAGATAAATCAACAAGACGGCTTCAAAAGAAGATTTGAGCGCAGACGTTCGGTACTGGTTTTCATTGCCTAACAAACCAGTTTAAACAGATTTTTCTGTTTGTGTTTTCTGCAGCTAACTATATACTATTGGATAATTCAGATCCTAAATACTGAGAAAAAAAAAGAAAAAAAGGTGAAATTTTCAAAACTGTAGTTTTGTAGTTTGAATAGTGGACGTTGATACGATTGTAATTTATCAGTTTTTGTTCCAGAAATTAGCCGTCAAGCAGCAGCTATACCAGCACTGACAATCGATTTTCGTTGGCCCATTTAGATACTTAAACTGATTTAGAATGATCTTAAATTGGCCTTTGGGTACAACCAAAATCAATTTCTCTGCCTACAGAAATAATTTGATATGATTTGAACAATTTTTTCAAACGGTGAAATCCATCAAAATCCATCAAAATCAATTTTTTTTTTTCATATTTTGAGGAAATTTCTCTGCTGAATAAAAAATTCCACGGAGCTACAAAGAGAAAGAATTACTCCAAGAGATTTTTTTACCGCAAACTAGTTAGCTTAAAGCAAGCCGTCTTTGTTTTCGTAAATATAATGGATAATGGGTTCCCGCGATAATGGAAAAAAAATATTTGCAAAATTTTTTAAAATGTCATTTTCATTATGGCCCTCTTAGCGTCATTTTATGACATAGTATTGAGAAATCGAAATTAAAAAATTGAGTTCTGAGCACAAAAAATTCATATTAATTTTGCTCGTAGTTCATTTTCAGGCCAAACATTAACACAAAAAATCAATTGAAAAGCGTACCTTAAAATTGTGTTTCCAAATTTTTCTATGACTGGATAATCTATTGAACCTGATAATAAATGTATAAAATTTTTAAAAAATCAATACCCAAAAAAAATGGTTAAAACTTGATTTACATCAATTTTAAACAATTTTGTTGATACTAAAACCGCATGAAAAGAAAATCAAAAAAGTTGCCTAAATGATTTCAAATCAATTGACAATCGACTGAAGTTGATTTTCAAAATACAATTTTTTATCAAACCAAATTGGTTTTAAATCGAATTGAGTCGATTTTATTTGGGTCTCTGCCACGTTATCAAGCAATCTATTTCTTGTCAGTACGGTTACATTCAAGAACATATATTTTCAATATACTCAACAAATCAATGTCATTTAAACAGATTCTCATGCTTTTTTCAATTTTTAGAAAGATCTTTTTGATTGATCAATAAAGTTTCTGCTAAAATTACCACCATCAAACAATGTTATGTGAAATAATTGATTTGATAATAGAGAATAAATTTCATCAATTTTTGTCGCTGTAACACTGTTTTATTTTTCTGATTTGAGATTTTGTTACGCACAATTGAATGTCTTGAAAAGTTTTTCCACTCATCCGAAATTGCATTTCGGAGTCTTTTGCAATGTTTTATACACTCAACAGCGAGAAGTTGAACGTATTGTTTTCAAATCAAAAAGGTTCTTAAAAAGATTAAAATATGTAAACTTCAATGGTTTTTATAACTTTGACGGCTTCTCTGAAAACTAATCCCCAGATTCGTCGAATACCCCACGCCCACATCACATCAAATGTAGGAAGAGGACCTTTGGAGAACGCTTAAACATTTACATTGGCTTTACATGGCTACAGTTTTTTTTAAAGAATTGCGACATAAATCTTCAATCATTGTTTTTCAATTAGATTAAACTACGTTTTTCAATGCTTAGATAGCCGATTTGCATAAAACAAAAATTGCTCGCTTGATTTACTCGCTCGAAATTAGACAAAAGCAAAACCTCAAAAACCACTTTTCTCGACACAAACTGTTTGAAAATTGATAAGTCGAATCATGGCCAAAAACACTTTTATATGACTTATCATACGACCCACTCTGATAATTACTTGTGGTAACTGATTTGGCGTGAGAAAAAATTGAGAGAAAAATCTCCAGAAGACAAAGATTTTCCCGACTTCCAGTAACCGGAACTACTATGAAACAAATTATAATTTTCAATAGCTACTTTGATGTTCTTTTGATTCTGTTGAATCTGTTTAGTATCACGGAGGCTGCCATTTGTCGGCTGTGTGAAGTCAATCGCCATCAACAGCCAGCCGATCGACCCCTTCTCTCTCCTGCAGACCCCCCGAGACACACCCACGAATGCGGGGTGGGGCTGTGTGCAACAGGGGCTGCAGTGTCAGAGAGACCACTTGAGTTGCTCCATGGGCAATGGGGTGTGCTACGAGGGCTGGAACAGATTCTTCTGCAAGTGCAACCCCACTTACGACGGAGAGTGGTGTCAAAAAGGTGGGCTTTTTCAATTTGAATAACCCTTCATTGATTTTATTTATTGGCTTATTTGTTCTTGTAGCTCTTATTAATTTTGGCAATTTCATACACCACAATTTTATGCACAAATTAAAACTGATAATCATAATCATCGATTGATTATCGATATCGAAGTGTTCAGTAGTTAATGAGGAGACTTGAAAAAGGTTTTTCTGCAAGTATAATCCCACGTTTGACGAAGACCGTTGTCAGGAAGGTAAGCAGATCAATGCAAAAAAATACTGTCGTTCAATCTCTCAATTTTTGTGTCTTAATGCACTTTATGTACCATAATTCATCGTCAATATCAATATTTCAAGCATTGGTGGATCTAGGATTTTCTCGAGGGGAGGGGCGGATTTTCAAAAAAAAATTAAAAATTTTGTCGACCTTTTTTTATTGACAAATTTGATTTTCTGAACTCTTTCAAATCACTATAAAAACCCTGTTTTAACCAAATGTTTTGCGCTGCAAGTGAATTTCTGAAAAAAAAACCATTTTTAGGCACTTTTTGCCAAATTTTGGACCAAAAAATTGCGTTTTTTCGGCGCGCGCTCCCCCCTCAAAATTAATATGTTTTGACGCCAAAGGCACCTTGAGAAAAATTTAAGCGTCAGTCAGCCAAAAATGGATATCTCAAAATACTACAAAGAGGAGACCCTTTGGGTAGGCAGGGGGTCGAATTCCTGAGGGGGGTGGGCGTCCGCCCCACCCTAAATCCGCTGGTGATTTCAAGTCAATACATAATTGGAAGAAATATGCAGCATGCAGAACCTAAATACACTTACAAGGATAATTGCATCGTTATCTTCCTTTGTAGAGCTGCTACTAGAAAAAACTGCAAAATAGCGCGGAACTAATTTTACCACTTTTTACCAGTTGTGCCAATTAGGAAAAAAATGGGCTCAAACTGGCCAATTTTAGTTAGACTAATCAATCATCAATTAGATCGTTTTTATAAAATGCAGAACTAATTGTTGATTTGAACTATAAAACTTCATTTTCGCTCAGAATTTATCAACTTGTTTTGCACAAAATATATTTGGTTGACCAATGAGATTTCAAATTAGAATAAACAAAATTCTACCAAAAGTTACCAAAGTTCTATCAACCGACGCAGAGTAGGAGTTCCATTTTCAATGCTTTTTGAATGAGGAGACCAAATGGCGTAATTTATTGTCTGATTTAGCAACCCCCCTGAAACTGATTAAAATTTAATCCTTCAATTTAAAAATTGATATAAGAGACAGGGAATTAAAAATTAAAACGCAAAAGATCTTTCTCAACAAAAAAGAGTACCTTGTGAGATAAGTTGCCATAGAAAAAAGGAAAATTTGCAATGGCATATGTTCGGGCAATTAGGTTTAAAAATTTTTTACAAGGAAGCGAACCAAAAAATAACAAAGAAACAAATAGATTATGAAAAACATTTTGCTTTCAAACTCGGCTTACAAAACATGAACACGAGTTATGATATCTTCCAATATTTTATCAAACCCGGTGATCTGGCAGCGCTAATCATCGCTGATTTAACAGTACCCAATAAAGGTTTCCAGCGCTGAAACACAAACACTTAATCATAGATAAGTCATTGAAAATTAATGCAATGGATTATTGATTTCAAAGGGCGATACTCAGATTATCATAAATTCACTGAATGCTTACTACACCGAGCTTTGGTAGTTCCCATTATGACCATCAAGCCTCCAATCCTAGTAAAAAAGTTATATACCATACACTGTGATTTTACCTTTGCAGGGTGGGGGTGGCTTTATTTTGCTGGGTGGTCAAAATATGGTAAAGACAACCAAGCTTTTAATATCATGACCATTTTCACTTAGCACTTTCAGGTACGGTGGTGGTGAGGTAATTCACGGCAGTCAAAATCTAATGATTATCATCAAAGCTCAATCCGGCAAGCTTCCGTCAACTAATTATTTGACATAGCAAAACCCAAAGTTATGCCAAGTTTTAGCAGTCAAAGTAGCGAGAAAATGAACCAACTTTTACAAAACTGAACTGAGCCATAACTTTAATTGAAAAGTTACCTATTTTCACAATTTGAGGACCATATCGATACAAATGCAAAAATCAAAAATTCGACAAACACTGTGAAGTACTTCACTAACTGGATAAGGCAACTTATATGAAAGTAGTCAGCTATCTGGATGGCCCTGACTCATCGTTGTCTGCAGTAATCTGAAGTCATTCATCCGTGCTAACCAACCTAATGCGTCGAGGCGAAACTAGCTGGTATTGATCAAAGTGCTTTCACACTTCTTTTTAGTTCTTTGTCATTCAACCCAGATCGTAAATGCCGTTAGAGATTGGTATGTCCATCGCCGCAACATTCTTTCCTGAAATGAGTTTCGATTACTGGTTCCTTATCCGACAAGCAAGTTTAATATAAAGAATGGCAACATATATCCTAGAGATCTGTTATTAGGATTAACTCTTTAAATTCATTACCACGTGGCGCAGCCAGCAAAAGAGAAAACCCCGCTCAGCATATACGCGTTCTAGCAACGTGGTCTGAACTGGACCCACCAGTGAAATGGGAGAAATCGAAACGGCAATGGCAATGATCAGTAAAACGAACGTGGATCTCGAGGAGCTAAAACGGGAAAAACCAACGGATCTGGTATGCCCAGACAAACCAATTAAGGCCATAGGGGTAACAATTAACAACACTCCGTGGGATATAGTGCACAGAATAGTAAAATTCCACGTCTTACTCTCGCTTGATTAGGAAGGAAGAACAAAACTACAGAGCAAGCATAGGAATGTAGAAATAACCAAACAGAGAGTAACGACTTAGAGTCTATGGAAAATGTTGAAGGACATTTTCAAATCCCAACACAATATGGCATTCGATGTATTAATGTAACTTTCAAAAACAAAACGAAAAATGAATCTTGCAAATCATTTCAAGTTATTTTATGAACATAGCAGATGTATGCAATTTAAGCACATCGCAAGACCAATGGCTCAGGAAAATTTTCACTTTGAACCTCGTCAACAGCGACATTTAGGAAAAATTATCAAGGGAGACACTAGATCTGATAATTGGTTGTAATTGGCGATCAATCTGGAAAAACGAGAAACAAATTGGCTGAAAATCCAGGACAAAAATTGACTTCAATCGGGAACGTTTTTACACGAAGGTCGAGTTATAGCGTTCATTGAAAGTAAACGTAATCATAATCCGAATCAAATAAATCACAAGTCGTCATCCAGTTGCCCAACATTCAGAGGTAACCAACCCCTGCAGCGGCTGCGGCTTGCAGTGGTCATCAAACCTCAGAGCGTCTTGTTTGGCAGTGGTAAAATCCTGCAGCAATTGCCGGGGAAAAACTTTTTCGCACGATATGTCGATTTATTTCAATAAAGTCCTAAGACAAAAAAAATCTTTTCAAAAGGGGACCAGAGGTCATTTAAACTACATCGACAACGACAGGCCAGACACTGATTCAGAGGACGTAGCATCGAATACCAAGATACAAAAGCAGACCGACACTTGTTTAACGACTCCTTGTCCAACGACAGCATCTGGTGCATAGTGGTCAATGCGTCGGACAGCGAGGAGTTGGGAGAAATTTTCCGTTCTCTTGAATGAAAAAGTTTATTGAATTGATATCCCCGTTTGAAGTTGCATTGTAGTTTAGGAGTGTTACCATTTGATTGCAGGGTTTTTTTTTTGGAGAAATATCAGTCATAATACAAGAATTAATTGTGTTCTAACTATGTTCATTAAATTTACACTAAAAATTATTACAATTTCCAAGCTAGTGATGATACATATGTGGCACATTGATGCGCCATGATTGTATACAGTTTTATGTATGTCGCTCTCACTTCTATGCAAAAAAGCGACTGTGAAATTAAAATTTTGACAAAAACAAAAGTAAAAAAGTGGCTGAAACCTGATCATAGTAGTAATTGAGTTTTTGTTTGAATGTATAGGAAAGTTATCTAAAAGTTACTAACAAACAATATGTAGATGTAAGTAAAAATTTTCTCTAATTGTTCACTCAATCATATCGCAGAGTTCTTAGATTCGAAAATTTTGCAGATGTTTTGTTGTGCAATACAAAAATCTGGCGCATTATTTTTTCGAGCAATTTTTTTGCTAAACTCAGTTTTATGCCAGAATAGTGTGAAAATTTGTTTCCTTTAGCCTGGAAAACCAATATGCATAGGTGAAAAAGCAGTTTCTGCTTCTTTTTTGATTCATAACATAAACATCAACCTGTATTGTCTCCATGGTTCATGGATGAATAAAAAAGTAGACATCCAAGTTTCAGTCATGAATCATCAATGAAGCATCTGTGTAATTTGCATCCATGTTTCTTAGTTGAAACATAAATGATCCTCGCTAAAATGTCATTGCAGCATGAATGATTCATCAATGCAAAAATTGAACGCTCTATCATACATTTCGTGCGAATGATACAATTTTCGCCGGTTTTTGTGAGTGTTACGACATATTTTAACGTGTTCTTAGATATATTTTATCTTTTTGTTTATTTTTTGGCTTTTGAATTGCCTATAAGCTGCGAGCATTCCCAAGCCCGAAATTTATTGATTAAAACTGTTCAGACAAATTATATTTTTTAAGTTTCTCTATGAACAATTGTGCGCTTATTAATTGCATCGACGTGAACTTGGCTTTTTTGCAAGAAGATATTTACGTACTTTTGTGCAAAAGTTTTCCTTTTTCAACTAAAAAATAAGTAAATGAATTCAGAAATGGCGGTCGGTTAAGTTACTTTTTTATGAGTTGTTATTTGTCATTTGTTATCAGAAATCAACCTATTTTAAGTTGCAAGACATCAAAAACTTAGTTTTAGCGTATTTTTGAAATTTGACTCTTCGCTTCGAGTATTTTATTCTCCAGTTGATTCGCAAGGCAATTGCACAATATCAGTTCTTTGGATTTTTTAAAATTTAAAGTCAAAGTTTTGGTCAACCAGTTGAAAGCTTTTCCATTGAACTTTATCAGATTGTTTAGGAAAATGTTGAACAAAAAATTGGCTCTAGCACCCCATATTTAAAAAAGTGTTCATAATGCTTGTTATATAAAATCTTTTTATTTATTTCAGTTAACTGTGTAAGTTTTGTAAGAATTAGTCTGATTTACTCTGAATTACGATCTCTGATTCTTGCCAAATACAGCAAGGACATAGTTACAGGATATGAGCGCAGCATTACTTGTAAGGAGCATGTCCTTTCAAAAAAAGGGGTCTTTTTGTTTAGATATGAGAGAGTAAAGTTTGTGAGGAATAAAACCTAGCAGGGCTTCTTAAAATTGTTTAATCACAGATTACAAGGTAGAGATTAGATTACAGAGGTTGTTATTAATGTCTGACTGGGAAAAAGACGTTGGAAGATGTTCCCAATTTAGAAGCTTTCAAAATTACGATGCAAACCTTAATTTTCTGTGATAATCAAATCAAGTCGTTAGCAAAGCAATCTAGGGAAAAAATGAAAACTATAAAAACAAAAAGTTGTAAAAAAAGTAAAATCACATAGATTGGTCTTGCGACTCGAATGAAAATCCGTTCTAACATGATCAGAGACATTTTTTCTCAACCCATTATTCCATAATGCAAATTAGATGAACATTGTCTTAAATTGTTTTTTTGAAGTTTATCAAACAGATTGGCCGTCAGAAAAAAATCACGGCAACCTAGAAAAGGAATAGTAAAATGCAACGAACATTTTGAAATCAAAACCAAACAAAAAGTTTCTATCTAAAGCATTTAAAAAATTATCAAGGGGGGAAACGATTTTTAAATGCTAAAGCCTTGAACTACTTGCCAAAGCAGCCAGCCAAGCTATTGAAAAAAATGCATCAAAACGGCGAAAAGCCAAACTGCGAACTAATACGATTGACAGATTCGTTGAAAAAGCTAATATGATAGACAAGTCCCTCCTAAGTAGGCAATTACACTAATTTCTCTTGTAATTAGTTGAAATCTAAATTGTGGATATTTTATGCATTTCACATATCTCAAGAAAATTTGAAATATATTTTAATAATACGGAATCATCAATTGAGTTATTGGGTAATTTATTATTACTCAAAATTATAACTTACTGAAATTTTTTTCCCAACTTCACATGGTCGCGCGAGAATTTTCACAAATGATTTGGTGAGAAACTAAGAAGTTTTGGTTCAAAATATATTGGGACGCGTTCCTGATTGATCACTCTGCTATTAGTAACAATTTGGGTGATCTAGATACATTTTAGGAACCCGCCTATGATAGAAGTACTCTTACTTGTTCCTGGCGATCATATGAATCAGCATAACCTAATAAGTTAACAGAACAGCATGGAAAAGGTATCTTTTCCAGGTGGTTTATTACAATAGATGGTAGGATGAATTTCTGATTTTTACAAACTCAAAACACTCCCAGCAGGAAACGCGTGCCTCTGGTTCTTCAGTAGATATACTGATCCATTATACTAACATTTTGCGAATGACAAGAAAACCAGATCACAAAATAGCATTCTGAAAATTTATAACGTATCTGCAAAAATGTGCACGAACAGAAAGCAGAAAAAAAATCAACTGATAATAGTTAAAAGATTTGCAAAATCATGTTTTCTTGGCTTCCCACATTGACAAAATTCAGATTGAAATCGATCTGAATTGATTTTCTTCGGATAAAATACTGTAGAAAATTCGGTTTGCGATAGCCCTGTTCGATTAGTCAATCAATTTAGAACGGGTTAAATAGATTTTACGGTTAATAAAAAACCGTTTTTTTTGCCCAAAAATCGAATTAAATGGCTTTTTGCATGGCAATGAATTCCATCAAAATTTCTACAAAATTGATGAAAAATAATTTTTTTTCGAAAATTGAGCAAGTTTCTGTACTCATAAAAAATCTCCATCAGCGCTACAGAGAGCAAAAGTCACTCGAGGAGAATTTGTTTACCACAAACTATTGAGATGAAAGGAATCCCCTTTGAATTTTGTAAATCTTAGAGCTCCCGAGGTAAGAAAAGTAAATTCTACAATTTTTTTGATATTTAATTTTCATCATCATTGTTCGGCAAATTATGTGAGGCAAATTATGTTAAATTATGATTTTATTGTTTCTCAAAACCCATACGAAAAATCAACCAACATTACACAAGAAAACAATTGACAAAAATGGATCTAAAATGATTTAGGATTGATTGAAACTGATTTTTGTGCTGCATTTTTGCATCAACCTTAAATTGCTTTGAAATCAATCCAAATAAATTGGTACATTATCTGCATAAAATCGATTGCAATCCACTTCTTGTCAGTACGGATTAAGTCTCAGATCGGTTGATACAGTCGCTTACTTTTCTGAAGACTCAAAGTACCGGGTTAGAATCATAAGAACCAAAATTTTTGCTCACCTGGGTTATATTAATTTTATCTGCCGCATTTTGCAATACATCACCCTTGTTCAAATCACAAAAATTATTATTGGTTGGTTTAGCTTTATAAAAAGCCAAATGCACTGCCGTTCTGTGAGAATCATTTCAAAACTACAAACTTTGGAAAACTACAGCACAGCTGCAATTTTGAAAATTTTTTCTTCTGCCCCAACTGCAACATTGGGCATTTGAAACGCGTTTTCTGGTTTTGAGAGTGTTTTCGATACCCAGCAGAAAAGATTTACTTTCCAATTTTATTCATCACCTGAATGTGGTCCGGCCACTTCACGAAGTGGAAAAGAGCATATTCTGTTTTTTTTCTTGGTGATTCGGATTCTTAAAAAGCTCACAATATTTTTTCTGTGTAAAGAAAAATTGATCTCATTTCTTCTGGTTTTTCAGATTAATTCTGACCTCCAAATTGTTTTCTGTACTTAAAACGTTTTTTCAGCTTTTATAACCTTCTCATGTTTGATTTTTTAAATTTAATGTCGATCTCTTTAGACATGAAGCCGAAAATATTTGAAAAAATTGAGAATAACGTAGATTTTTTTTTTCAAATTTAAGATTTTTCCTTCAATTGTTAATTTTCTAGTCAGTGTATTTGGAACATTATGTCCTGCTTGCACAGACAACGGCCGTCCCGGCTTGTTTGGATAATAAAACGTTCCTTTATAATGTTTTCAAAATGAAGTAACATATGAAATGACATAATTGCAGAACTTTTAAAACCAATTTAATGATAAAAGATTACACAAACTATGAAACATAAACAAACATAAAAGCAAGTTTAAATTGATACGGTTGGTTTGAGTCGGAAAACAATTTTTTGGTTCACTGTGTTATGAATTTTCAGCGGCTGACGTCATGACTTTCGACTGGAGCTCTGCAGACGAAGGCAGTCGGGTGCAACTCATCGCATCTTCAGACAAGAAGGGGGACACATCCAGAAAAACCAGTACTACAGGTGGAGGCGGCGGGTGGGGAGGGGCGTACAAGTACTCAGTGCTCTACATATCAGTGCAGTTCCAGACTACCCGGACTAGGGGGACTGTGTTTGTCATCTCCTCCAACCACACCTTCCACACCACAGCTCTCCTCATATCACACGGAAAAGTAACTCCCTCTCCCCGCTCACATGTTCATCTAGATTTCTTTTCTTGTTTGGTAATCAACTTGGAAGTTGCACTTATAAATAAACTATGTTTAAAGTGAACAGCCCAACAATCCTAGAGGATAATCTCTACCACCATCACTCAAAAAAACTTCTATACACGTTATGAGGTAATTTTTGAGGCACCCCAACTAAGAGCTATTGAATCTTCATATACCCTAAAATGACCATATTGTCGCCATATTATATATTTCAATCAGTTTACGCTTGTCACTTTGTGAAAGAGGCCAGTTAGTTTTAAAAAATTTTACAACATTTTTTTAAACAAAAATCGTATTTCACACTATCAAGGCTTTGTCTTGGTCCAATTGAAATGCTAGCATGCTTTTGACAGCCTAGCTTCTAAGTCAAACTACAGTAAAATTAAGATTAAAATGCTCTGCATGCCGTAAGATGACCATACTTTCAGCCAATTCTCAAAATTCTTAAACAATCTACCATTTTTTTTCGTATGGTCTTATGAGTATAAAAATGGACAAGAGCATTTATTTGATTAAAAGTTCAACCAACAGACTAGACTGTTCTGCGAGTTACCAACTGTGTAACTTTACTTGTTTCAGCTGGTGCTCAAACTAGGCATGCCATCTACAGCGGAAGATGAGAAGAGCAGAAAGCGAACAAGCAGTGGTCGAGCTCGTCGTCTGGTCGAGATCCCCGAGAGTCACTTCGTGTCCGACGGGGAGTGGCACTCGGCCACAGTCTCAATCGATGAGCACAGTCTCCTCTTCTGGCTAGACTCTTACAGCGTCCTCAAAGGTCTGTTAATTAAATTTGGAAAGAAGGGTCATCATTTTCTGCCATTCTAAAACGAACAATGGTGTTAATTAAAGGATCACCTTTGAGTTTTTCTAGATGCGTTATTACAGCATTGGTTATTGCATATTGGTAAGCGCTTTTAATTAAAATTTTCAGTTTTGACCAGCAATAGCTTATTGAAAAAAAGGAGAAAAAATAGCAAAAAAGATGCTTCATTAAGTAAAATTAAAATTTATCAACAAAATGTTAGGTCGGGATCAGGCTCCGGATTTTAGTTCAATAAATAATTTTCGTAGTAAAAAAAACTATCTCTGATATAAAGGAGAAAATAAACTGATCAAAGAGATGCGCTTAGTTATAACTAAATCTGTTAAAACTCTCCAGGAAACCGACAGCATTTCGAAAATTATACGCAAACATTGACATAATCACATGGTGGGGGAGTTGATTAGATGCTGTAATTACAAAACTAAAAGTTAGAAAATTTCTCGGTAAATAATACCACAAATGAAATCTTTGGGTTTTATTTCACACTCTCTACATTTTTAACAAAAACTGGTTGAAATTGTTCTTTTTTGCAGCAAAATGTTGAAAGGGGGGGAGGGGGTGGGCTAATTAACTTTTATTCAATTGTTTCGATGGTTTTTAAAGAACTAATGAGTCAACTAAAAAAATTTTAAACTTAAATTTTAAACTAAAAATCCTTCTTTTAATTTGAAGCAAGGTATTGAACCTGAATTCATATAAAAACCTATCAATGCAATCAATTTTCCCGGTCAAGTATGATTTCATACAGTTACAAGAGAAAACATCTTTTCTTGCTATCAATCTTTATCTTGAAAGACTGCTGAGATAATAGTTTCACCGAAAAATTTCCGAAACCATTTTAAACTCCTCTGACGCATTGAAGTTTTGTTCCAAGTGCTTTTGACATGCTTTTGTGAAGAAAGAAAAAATTCATAAAACTTGTTCACTCAAGTTTTTTTTCGGAATTTGACTTTGGCTACAGAAGAGGCACACCGCGCTATTGATTTACAACCTTGTAAATAGCCTAAAGGAAGACAAAAAAGCCGAGTTTGGACCTCATACAAAACAAGTAGTATTGAATTGCTTCAATTTGATTTAGTTTTTATATTTTTTTACATTGGTTTTTTGCTTCCTTCTCGGGATGGTTCTTTTTTTTCCATACAAAAAAAAATATTTTGTTTTAAAGAATTTTGTTTGACAGAACTTTGTTTGACTAATTTAAAAAATTGGATGCACTGAGCCCAATTTTAAAAAATACATGTGATTATGGGTATTCTAAAATTGCTAACTGGCCAATCTGTGGTTACGAAAGCGCAATGAAGTAAAAGCGCAAAAAAATTAGTCTCATTACACATTTTAAGTTGACTTGAAATTCACCAGTTGATACAATCATGTTTTAATAGATGGGAAAACATCACTATGATTTTTTCTTTGGAAATGGGAAAAGTTTTCCAAAAAGGAAAAAAATCGACTTTTTTTCTGAAAACTTATCATTATTTTAGAACATTTATTTATTTTCAAACGTTCTGAAAATCATTCAGATACTCTGGTTCTCAACCTGTCACAAGTAGAATTATTAAAAGAGCAATTGTTAAAAGAGCAATACCGCTTTCATACATACTAATTACATATTATAAACCAATTAAATGCTAATGTTCTCAACGAACTCCGATCAGATAACATAGGTTTAATAAAAAAGTAAAATTTTACCTTTACAATTAAACTTTTGGGCTGATGTTTGATTAAAAAAAGTTTTAAAATCAGTATTATGGAAACGTCTTGCAGCAATAGTCAACTGCTCTATTTTTTGTTCTAATAAATTTTGATGTTTTACTACAAAATTTCGCTTATAAGGTTGATCGTCTAAATGGCAATTGAAGAATTTTGGCGCAAAAGCAGTTTTTGTTACCGCGGGAACCTTCGACTTTTTAAAGGAATCTCTTAAAGTTTGAAGCTTGCGTTGAAAGTTTTGTGCAATGAAATTTGATACGATGCCTGTAGTTTTTACACAAAAAAAACAATTTTACTCAGTTTTTTTGCATATTATATACGTATTATCTACACATTATCTACAATTTATATACAAAGTTTCTACAGGTTGCTTCCAGGTTTTGTTGTAAGAAAGGTATTTTTTGAATGTATACAGATTATTTACATATTTTATAAAAGTTTTATGGAAATAAAAAAAAAACGTTCATTTTGGCTTGAGCTCCATCTATTTTTGATGGAAAATGAAACCTTTTCTGTTTGTATTGAATTGATGTTCGTTTGCGATGGTTGCAGAGAAATTAATTCCCTGTTTACGTTATTTGTTGGTTTCTCTATTTATTCTATTCGTATTCTTTGTTGTAACGGCTAAAAGTACAAAGTTGTGCATAAAAAATTTAGTAACAAAAAATGCCTACGAATTGTCACAATTTAATGGCTTTCAAACACCATGATTTTATAAAAAAAATGTTCATAGGTAAATTACACTTTTTCAAATTTCAGAACAGAACGTAAACACCTATCAGATGACAAACGTTTAGTCAAAAGTAGCTCAATTACAACAAGATAATTTTGGCAATCGGAGACTCTTCTGAGCATTTCGTTTGGTTTTTGTATGTTCCTAACGTTTTTTTACACATAAATTTTCTTCAAAACAAGAATTTTAGTTCAAACCAAGTGTTTAAATTAGTTATTCTATGGAAAAGACTAAATCCTTTTTAATTGGTAGCTTTTAGAGCATTCAGATCACTTCAAAAAATCAAAAGAAATCTCTGATTCTGCCTATGAGTTTCAATTATAGGACTAGCTACCATGAAATTTGAACCAATATAGAAATTTTGATCTTCTCAATCATAAAATACAATCTGTTTTTATACGCCTGATGTTCCCCAGGTAGCTTTACCGGCAGTTTTAAAGTTACTCTAACAAACTTTCTGTTGAAATTGGTTCCAATTAACTATAACAAAATTTTTTAAAATCCTCATATAACACCAAGGAGTTTATATAATTGACTAATGAATTTTTAAGAGCTGAAGTGGCTTCACGTTGCGTTTTGAAGTTTTTTCTTTGTAGTGGGTGCGGTTTTTGACATTCAGTTTGACGTTTTTGACGTTAAAAAATTTGGGTTTCAAATGTTGATTCTGAGAATCTTGTTTTTTTTTGTACAGAAGATAATTTAAGTATTTTCTCTTGGCTGAGATAATAATGATTGTTTTTTGTCTGTCTGTCTGAAGGTTCGTTTTTTTTTGTTTATTTGCGCTCATTGACTCTTTTGCAAAAGTCTCTGTTGGCTATGTTTCAATTTAATACGGGTTGACTTAAATCAAGGGTAGTTTGTGTTGATGTTTGGTTTTTTTTGTAGAGACGTGTGGTTTTCTGGCAATGAAAAAAAGGGCAAAGTCTCTTTATTGGTTGTTTTCTAAGTTATAAAATGCCAGAAGTTTAGTTGTTTTAAAAATGCTAATGCTTGGAGCCTAGTTTGGCTATTTTGGTTCTATCAAAAAACCATTTTTCGGTTTCTCTGGCTTTTTTGAAGCTGCTTAAACTTATTAGGAATGGTTGGTAAATTGAATCCAAATTTCGGAATGAGTAAGACTTGTTTCATTTTTTACGGTTGGAAAAAAAACTAGATTTTATTGGGTTTTTAGACACAATTTAGGATTTAAAAATTAGACAAATAGAACTGATGATATTTTGCAATCATTAAAGAAGCATCAATTGAAGCGAAAATTAAAGATAGTTGATAAATAAGTAACGCCTTGGTAATCTCATCTATTTCAAACTGAAACTGGTTCTTATAATAAATTTAGAACTGTCAAATTTCATTCTCACAATAAAAAATCTCTTACAAAAAACCACAATCTAAAGAATTTGATGTTTTTTTCTGCCACTAAGTTTTTTTTTAAAATGATTACAATTTTTGTCACTCAATATTGATATTTTTGTTTGCAATTTCATGTTATACCAATCTAAATAGGTACGTTTGAGGTTATTTGGGACTAATTTTTGTCGCATCGGATAACTTTTGTTTCTGTTCAACTATCTATCACGATTTATGATGACAAGCAAAATAGACGATCAAAGAGCAACGGAATTTGGACGATAAATTGGGTGAACTTTTTATACAATCTTAAATTAATTTTTGATTGAGTAAGTAATGGTTTCAGAGCACAATTCAGGTTAAGAATTTCACAGATGTATAATTTATACATTTAAAAAATGTAATTTACTTTTTTGATTGAATGTTTTATGATTAACTTACAATAATAATTTTGATCATTTCTGTGATCATATACTTTTTTGTTTTTGTGTAACTTCATTCTAAACATAAGTTTTGTTGGCTTAAGTTTTATCGTCTAAATTCACAAAAATTTATCGTCGAAAATCCATTTTCTTCTGGTCGTCCAAATAGCTTATTTAATTTTTAAGGCCCCTAGGCAGCCATAAACAACCATTTAAATTGAAATTTTGTTTTTATCAGTTTTCACATCATGCCGCAAATCACACTGCAAATTGTGCACTGTGAAAAGAATCAAATTGATGATTGCTACGAAGATGATTCTTGATATGAATAATAATTCCAGAAATCTTCAAAAACGGTGCGATTGGTTGACTTGAGTGAAAATAAATGCCATGGTTTGAGATGTTCATTTTATGTTTCGGGGCTTTCAAAGCCGAGCTCAAGATCTGTGCACGGACGAAAACAAAGGTTTAGGTGCAGGAAAAACAAGAGGTTGAATTATTTCTCTGGTACCTTATGAAACATATTCAAACTCAGCCAAGTCGGTTTGATACACCTCTATGACAGTTGTCCGTTAGAAAAATCTCTTCAGCTCGAAATTTTTGAAAATATTTTTCATTGCAGTATTGAACTCAGTTTGCATAACTGAGTTCAAGCTCAAGGAAACATTTTCATTAAAAAGTGTTGCAAAAAGAACACAATCATTTCAAGATTGTTTTGTTTTTGACCGCATTAGTAGGAGTCC